CCCAACAGGACATGTCAGACATAAGCCTGACATATATGGTCTAAGTTTACTTCTACCTGCCTCAGTGCAGTGGACTTAACTGCCTGTAATTTTGAGGCCTCTTCCAGCCCTATGTTTGTGATCAATCATATTTCTAGACTTTTAACATGACAAATATAATCACACCCATCCTTCTGTCTTCTAACCAGGTTGCCCATACTCTACAAAGTATAAATAGCCCCATGATCCCCTTCTCCCTGTAGGCTGCCCTGTACTACTGTGATATTTTCAGTAGAATCCTGTTTATAAATATACAGGGTTATAAATCATCTTGGTATCCTTCCCACCCTCTGCACCAGAAAGAGAATGAATTGCTGGTTATAAACTGGATGTCATTTCCCTCTCCCTCCAGCCTGTTAGCCACTCCAAATAATGTTCCCAGAAGCCTTTACTCCACTAGGTCTATTCTAGTCCTCTGGCCATGTTGAAAAGCATTCCGCTCTAGAATCCTCTCACTGGCCATTCACAGAAATTACCAAGTTTGCTGCCTCTAAAGAGTCAGTGTATACAGCTGCTTACTTGACTGACCAAGAAGGCACATCCTATATAATATCACAGCACTGAGATTGTATAAGATGATATAGAATGTATTAGCAACAACCAAAGATTCTCAGAATCAAGTAATCACGGAGTATGAAAAATGGAAACAGTGCTGGTTACAAATAAGACAAAAGTAAATACCATGCTTCTAACACTGAATAAGTTAGTCACTGGTCACATGTAAGGGGGATCTGAAAGGCCCTGTCATGCCTGCCCAAAGGCCCCCGGCCGGAGGGCGGCAAAGGGCCAGAGCCTCCAGATGCTCTGGGGGGGCTAGTGAGGAGGCGATGGGGGAAGCCTGTTGCCCACAGCAGGGGTCCGTCCCTCCTGCACTCACTGGTGGCTTCAGGGGGAAGCTGAGCAACTTCTCTGCTCTGCTCCCCCCAGCTGCTATTGGAGGGGTGGGAGTGTCTCCCTGCCTTCACCACCGGGAAGTGGAGTGACATGGCTGGCACCTAAGGAGTGGAGCTGTGTCACTTCACTTCCCCTGCTGCCACCACCATTGAGTGCAGGGGTGCTGGCACCAGACTCCCCTCCCCACTAGTCTCTGGGGAAAGGGACTTGGGGGAAGAGGCAGGAAGAGGTGGGGTAAGAATGTTAAAATGTATTTACATGCTGGGAGTGAAGTTTTCCCAGCCCCGCACTGCTGCCTCTATATCAGAGGTAGCAGCATGGGAGAGGGGGAGGCAGTTGGCTTGGCAGGAGCTGCTACATGCAGAGAGCAGACTTGAAAGCTGGCTGCCCACATATAACAGCTCCCACCTGCGCTGCTGCCTCTGTGGGAGGCCGCATGGGGAGGGGAAGGTGTCTCCGTGGGAGCCAGCATGCGCCTCCCCCCCACCTCTGAAAGAGAGGCAGAAAGGGGGAGCGCTGCATGTAACCCCGAGAGGGTTAACGATGAGTCCCACCTGACCCAGCTCTTCTCGGGGTGACAAGGGGAGAAGTCAGGTGGAGGGGAATCCCTCTTCAACAGTCACCCCTAAATTTTAGCAGGCTACCAGCCTTATCTTAAAAAAGCTTTGCTGTGTTGCTAGCCCTTCCCCTCCCCCCCTCCGCCTCGGGGCCAGCATTCAACTTTCATGATGGTAAAAAAAATGTCCTTTTGTGCTCCATTAGACACGGGCAACCAAATGTTTCATTTTCCTCCTTCTGATGATCCGGTGTCCCTTGGAAATGTGCCTTTTTGAAGCGCAGACTCAGATAAGATCCCCAGCGTTCTGAAGGCATGCTGCTTTCCCCTCCTCCAGAGAACACATTCTTGTTTAGCACAGGTGCCAACCAACTCTGAGGCTGTCTCTACACTGGCGTGTTCTCACGCAAAAACTCTTTTGCGGAAGAGTTCTTGTGCAAAAACACTTCCACAAGAGAGCGTCTACTCTGGCATGTGCTTTTGCGCAAGAGATGTGCTTTTGCACAAGAGCATCCATACCAGTGTAGACACTCTCTTGCGCAAGAAAGCTCTGATGGCCATTTTAACCACAGGGGCTTCTTGCACAAGAAATTCATGTTGCCTGTCTACACTGGCCTCTTCTGGAAGAGCTCTTGGGCAAGAAGGCTTATTCCTGAGAGGGAGCGTCAGAGTTCTTGCGCAAGAAGCCCTGATTTTCTACAATACAACATGGCTGTGTCTAGACTGGCCAGTTTTTCTGGAAAATCAGCCATTTTTCTGGAAAAACTTGCCGGCTGTCTACACTGGCCTCTTGAATTTCTGCAAAAACACTGACTTCCTACTGTAGGAAATCAGTGCTTTTTACGGAAATACTATGCTGCTCCCGTTCGGGCAAAAGTCCCTTTTGCGCAAAACTTTTGCGCAAAAGGGCCAGTGTAGACAGCTGAGATTTGTTTTGCGCAAAAGTGTGTCTAGATTGGCCACGGACGCTTTTCCACAAAAGTGCTTTTGTGGAAAAGCATCCGTGCCAATTTAGACGCTTTTTTCCGCAAATGCTTTTAACAGAAAACTTTTCCGTTAAAAGCATTTCCGGAAAATCATGCCAGTCTAGACGTAGCCCATCAGTTTACTTATGCAAGAACGCACAGCCAGTGTAGACAGGCAGCATGTTTTTGCACAAGAGCGGCCGTTTTCACGCAAGAAGGCGCCAGTGTAGATGTAGCCTCCTGATTGTATTTGACTTGCCTCCTGGATGTCAGAGACCTAGGCAGAGAAACGAGTAGTCCTGTGGCACCTTAGAGACTAACATGTAATCTCTCTCTCTATATATACACACACGCCCACCCCCACTGAGTTTGTCAGGCCTGCACAGAGCTGCTGACACCAGTGAGCCACCAATGAGCCTGTCTGCCACAGCTGCCTGAGCGCTGTTAGGGCCCAGCTCAGAGTTGCAGAGTAAGGCACTCTGTCCCTAGAAATGCAGCCGTGTTAGTCTGGTGCAGCTGAAACAAAACACAGGACGATGCAGCACTTTACAGACTAACAAGATGGTTCATTCAGGGATGAGCTTTCGTGGGCCAGACCCACTTCCTCAGATCAACTAGGGGAAGAAAATTGTCACAACTTTTTCATGTGTCCATTTTTAACTGTCTCCTTTGGTATTTATGGTTGTGACTATTTTCTTCCCCTGTTTGATCTGAGGAAGTGGGTCTGGCCCACGAAAGCTCATCCCTTACAGACTAACAAGATGGTTCATTCAGGGATGAGCTTTCGTGGGCCAGACCCACTTCCTCAGATCAACTAGGGGAAGAAAATTGTCACAACTTTTTCATGTGTCCATTTTTAACTGTCTCCTTTGGTATTTATGGTTGTGACTATTTTCTTCCCCTGTTTGATCTGAGGAAGTGGGTCTGGCCCACGAAAGCTCATCCCCGAATGAACCATCTTGCTGGTCTGTAAAGTGCTGCACAGCGCTGTGTGCTGGCCCTTGCGGTGGCAGACGCAAAGAGAACTCACTGGCTCACCCCCCCCCCCCCGCCCCCCCTGAAA